GTCGACTATAATTACCAGCCACCGGTGGTAGCGATGCAGACAGCCGTAACACCGCAAAATGCAAGTGATGCCTTGAAATTTTTTTGGAGGCCTCCTGATCCGACAGTACAGTTTTATGTCTACTTGCATTTTGCTGAAGTTGTAAACCTACAGAGCAACGAAACCAGAGCATTCTACGTCAATCTAAAGGATGAACACTGGTATAATGGAATTTTAGGTCCCAAGTATCTTGCGTCAGAGACCATTTATGCCACGGGAGGGGGTACAAAGGCAAGTTTTGATTATTCACTAGTGAGAACTGAGAATTCCACTCTTCCACCTCTCATCAATGCTTTGGAGGTTTATTCTGTTAAGCGTTTCTTGCAATCACAAACAAATGAAATCGACGGTACGTGCGTTGGTCCTTTACTTTTGCCATACTGTTTACTGTGTTGTATGACTTAGGTTTAGAAACTAATTGTCTTAAATCAAAAGGGATTCCAAATCCCGATAGGTCGGAAATTTAAATCTCATACCTATAGTGGTTTAGATCGGTGATATTGTCGATTAATTAAAAAAAAAAACAAAAGAACGTATGACTAATTCAGAAATGAGAAGTCATTTTTATTCTTCCATTATTATTATTATTATTATATTTTTTTTGGGAGGGATATGACAAGGAAAAGTTTAGTTCCTCAAAAAATCAATTAAATCTACATGAGTAACAAAATTAAATCACCGAAAGAGGGAAAAAGAAAGTTGTGGACCATTTCCAAAATTGCATTAAACTGTGTAGATTGACGTTGACCATATTGACTGGGTCTTAAATATTTTCTAAATTAAAAATGGTGAGCGCCTAGTGGTAGCACTACGCAAAACGAGCAAGTATTTGCATGTTGACGCAAGGATAAGTTGACTACCTCATTTCATCCGGTTAATTAATTGGCTCAAATCATCTACTTCTAGCTCCTAGGTGTTACCAATTTGGAAACAAGATTTTATTTTACTTTGAAAGATTCAGCATGAAAACAATCAAATTCACTCACCCTTTTTTTGGGATTTATGTACTGACCGTAATATGACTGCATTTGTCAACAACATACCACTTTGATTACTAAAGAAACTGCTTTTTTTCACTTTGATTACCAACAACATACCGCTCAAGTTCTTGTTCTGAAATTGCAGTATGGTCTATCCTGAATATCAAGTCAACATATGGAGTGAATAACAGAAATTGGCAAGGAGACCCTTGTCTCCCCGCAGCATATGTGTGGCAAGGTCTTGACTGCCTTATCAACACCAACAACAAGAGTGATCCTCCCAGGATCAAATCCCTGTATGTGTCTGCTTCCGATCAAAATATATTCATCTACTATAAAAAGATCAGAATTCACCAGCTTGTCTGACTGTTAAATTTGTTCAATTTGCATTCAGGAATTTGTCCTCCAGTGGATTGACGGGCAATATCTCCCCCTTTTTATCCAATCTCAGTTCTCTTGAAAACCTGTGAGTAGTTGTATCATGTAAATGTCCTGATATCTAAATTTTATTACGTGATTGATACAAACAATGTCAGTTAACATGTGAACTGATGACAGCTTTAACCCAAGTTTGAGTAACAATCTAACTGGCTAATGAATTAAATACTTCAGGGATTTGTCAAATAATAGTTTGAAAGGACAGGTGCCCGATTTTCTGGCTGATCTTCCAAGCTTGAAAGTCCTGTAAGTGACCAAAAAATGTTGTACTATCCAAAATCATTGCATGCGATTTAGTAAATGATCCTATTTGGTTCGCCTATTTTAGGAATTTGTCAAGAAACCAGTTCTCAGGACCACTTCCGCAAAAACTCCTTGACAAGGCCAAGAATGGGCTGGAATTAAGGTTTGTCTTTATATCATGACTGCCACTATCTTATGATTACGATCTGATTTTTTTTTCTATACTCATGTATTGTAAATATACTTCAGATCATGTCCATCGTGTGGATTGCTATAGAAATGGCGATTTCCAAAAAACCTTTTTACAGTTTGAAAGCTCCTATTTATTGTTGGGTTGAAGAGTTGCTTACTGCTTTTCTCTTTACCATGTTTTGGTAGAGCTGACGGCTATACTGTTGGAACCTCAAACTCTTGTCAATCGGGCCGGTGTAAAGAGAAGAAATCAAAGAAGTTTGTAGTTCCACTCGTTGTCTCACTTTCCGTATCCTTGACCTTCTTGGCTGTCTTAATTGTTCTCTGGAGATTGAGAAGGGGAAAACACCCAGGTATCGCACCGTCTGCTCATTGAAGAAGTTGTCTGCACTTTGATTGAATAACATAATCATTAAGTTCATGATTTGACAACAAAAATGCCTTCACTAATACGTGAAATGCTGTTTCCACAAGGTCGAAAGTTGGGTGGCATATCCAACAGAAAAGATGGGTTCTTGGAGACAAAAAACATACAATTTACGTACTCTGATCTCTTGAAGATCACAAACAATTTCCAGAGGGTTCTTGGAAAAGGAGGCTTTGGTACAGTCTACCATGGTCTTGCTAATGGTCAACATGTTGCTGTAAAGTTGCTTTCCCAGTCATCTGCCCAAGGGTACAACGAATTTCAGACAGAGGTAAACTGGATTGCTTACGATTCCCATATCATCACGGATTCCAACTTCAAATTCCTGTCAATACAACTCCGGTCGTCAGTTGTAACTCGTAATTGCTTTTCTAACCAGAGAAATTGGAGAGGAACCTCAGAAACCCACACTAATTCACAAATTAATAAACAGTTATGTAGATTTGCAAATGCATAAAATATTTCACGTTGTTGAGCATTTGACCTAAATTAAGATATTTACCAACCACAGGCTGAGCTTCTGACGAGGGTTCATCACCGTAATTTGACATGTTTGGTTGGGTATTGCTATGAAGACACTCATATGGCGCTTGTCTACGAGTACATGGCCAATGGAAACCTGAGAGAGCTTCTTTCAGGTACATGCGAACTAATGTTTCTTATCCTTATTCGTTATAGTATTAGCTGCTCAACTTCTAAATGGCATAATCCATGTCTGGGATTGTTTTGTTTCTTCGTTGCTCGTGATCATCTGCTAACAACTAACCAGTTGAATGGTAAAAATCCATTCTGTTTATGCAGTTAAGGATGACAATAATGTCTTGAGCTGGGCTGAGAGACTTCAAATTGCATTGGATGCAGCACAAGGTCAGATTAGAATTTCACAGTTCTTTGGTTCTGCTGCATATATACCTTCTTCTGAGTTCCATACGCGCACATTATTCTCTGTTTAAAAGAAGTTCCTGGATACTCACTGCATGGAAAATATGGCTTGCAGGACTGGACTATTTGCATAATGGTTGCAAGCCCGCAATCATTCACAGAGACATAAAATCTACCAACATCTTATTAAACGAAAAATTTGAGGCCAAGCTGGCTGATTTTGGACTATCTAGAGTCTTTACCATTGATGACGGCTCCTTTGTGTCCACTAGAGTTGTCGGGACCCCTGGATACGTTGATCCCGAGTGAGTAATGCCTTCCAACACCCAACTGTTATTCAGGTTTTTGGCTATTTTACATCAAGCCAAAGAGCTGAATAGTTTATTTCAACTGTATCATTTACTCTTCGTTCTTTTGACCTCAGGTACTATGAAACACAGAGGTTGCATGAGAAAAGTGACATTTATAGCTTGGGAATAGTCATCCTAGAGCTGATAACAGGCAGGCCAGTAATCATAGGGACTGAGGACAAGCGCCACATATTGCAGTGGGCTAATTTTTTGCTAGCAACGGGGGATATCGGAAGTATTGTTGATCCCAAATTGAAGGGGATGTACGAGATTAACTCTGCATGGAAAGCTTTAGAAGTAGCAATGGCATGTGCCTCTCCCACTTCTTACAGAAGACCAAACATGGCTCACGTTTTAGCAGAGTTGACAGCATGTTTGGCAGCGGAGAAAGCTCGAACCGAAGGCTTGGAAGATACAGGTTCACAGGATTTACTTGAAGTCAACCCGGGCGTTTTAGACGTTGAGCTTGGACCCAGGTAGAACCATCAGACCCATCACACAAATGTCGGGATTTTGCAGCCAAACAGTTCTTCTGGGCTCGGGAAGAAACCAGGCACGATTCCAGGCGTACCAAATTAAGAGCTTCAACAACACCTACACAAGTTAAAATTTTATTACTAAGATTTTTAAACCGATGTTCATTTCGATGAGGAAATGTTTTTGCATTCTTTGCATTCTTTTTTTTTGGGTCAGTGAATACAATTTGTGCATCTACCACTGTAAATTTAGCCTTCTCTTAAATCTGTTGGGTCAGGTTGGCCCATATGGCAGCAGTTAGGCCTTGGATTTGGGTTACCTTGTCAAGCCTCTCTTAGTACAATTTGAACGCAGGTAGATAAATGAAAATGATACATACAGGTTTTTTTTTTAATGCATACATTAATGGTACCAATTAGTAAACAGATCTTGGGATTTTTTTTGGGAGGAGGGGGGAGGGGTGCAGAAGAAGAAACATATTGAGATGGTTCAAAGACTCGGCTGAGACCAAGACCGAGTCGTCATCGGAAGGGGGTTTTTCGTTCCGATACCGAGACGAGATCACTTCGAGATGATGAATCGTCGAGAACTAAGCCGAGACGGATAGAAACGACCAAATCACCCGAGTCATCCCAATTCAACTTGAATTTTTATTATTTTTGCTAATTTTTTATTGCTTTTGTTTATCATTTTTTTTTATATTTTTTAGAATATTAAATGCTTTAAAAATTTGTGTCTCACCGAAACCGCGACCAATATGTCAAGACTGATATGAAACCGTCCGAGCCACGACCATGACCGCGACCGTGCTACCATGATTGAAACAATATAGATAATAGGTTTGGGAAATGCCAAGTACTAGCATGAATGTTGGCGGAAGACCATTGACGTGCTTGCTTGTCTGACAATACTCATTATGAAGTATGAGTACTTGCTCCAAGCAACATCTGATGTATGTGGTAATATTGGCTTAGGTAACATCTAATATTGAATACTTAATTATATGTAGTAAGTAGACATTGCATTTCAATTCTAAATTTACGCAGTACTGGAATCTCGTGTGCTCCAAATTGCAGCTTGCTGCAACTCAAGGTTCCGGATTCGAACTACTATAACTGGCGGAACTGGATGGTTGGTGGCTTGGTGCAGGATGGATCAGAGGTACTTGACCAAAGACCTGTAAGTTGCACCAGGCTTCCACCCTGCTGGAATCACATTTTTGGCCACCAGGATCTGCCCTGAATATTGTGACCTCAATCTAATTGAGAAGGGGGGTCGTAACACAGAGCCAGCGTCAAGCTTCCAAACAGCCCCCCACGACCGTTTCATTTCCCACCATTCATCACGTCCGGATGATTGCTTCAGAGCCACGCCCGCAAGATCACCATCTCCATCTTCAAACTCGATAACCACGGCAAAATACTGAGGATTGGACCCCGGATCAACGCGGAATGCAACGTTCGTCCCCGGATACTCGCAAGAAACACTGAAGAAGGAGAAAATCATGTTAGGCGACCAACAAGGCTGCTAACTTCTAAGCGTTATGTTATAGTAGTATTATTATATATGGTAGGTACTATTTCATGGTGATTAAGGCTAAGTAAGGATTTGAGCGCCCAATATACCTTAATCCAAATTAATTAAACTAACTGACCGTGCATAGCTGATTTCCAAAACTCCGGCATCGCGAAGTTTTTGTTCTTTCCCGGGAACGGCCATGGCACCAAAAGCAGTTCCGCTGAGGTCGAAATGAGCAGGTCCGGAAGTGCATGGATATCCGGGACAAAAATCTGTTATAACAACTCTGACTGGCTGGCCGGAGCATGCCGGATGCTTTGTGCATTTCACCTACAGGATCATTTATTTTCCTTCAAGTAACACTAGCTAGCTATAGTATGTAAGAATGACCTGAGCAATAATAATTAGTTTTACTTTTCGTATTTATTAAAACAAAAAAAAAAGAGAGGAAGTAGTTTTTTTATTTTTCTTTTATTTTTGTCCAGAAAATAAAATATTACTACCTACTTGTATATTATGTGTGGTTGGGTTAGTCAACGGGTTACACGATTATAAACTAATGAAACCCAAAGTAGTGGCTCTAAAAGTATTCGATTAAGACAAAAGATGGAATGGTGAGCCAATTAGAAAACAATTTGGATTCTTACGTATTTTACCTGCGTTGTATTAGTGCACTCCCTGCATGCTTATGTAAGTAAACTTCAGTTGATTATCATAAATACCGGGAATTTGATCGCCCGTGAGCTAAGGACAAGGACATCAAGAAGTCAAATTTAGTAGTACTAATAACTAAGAAGGAAGTCATAGATATGTAGAGGTGTCAAAATGGGTGATTTGGACGGGTTTGGGTTGGGTAAAATGGGTAATGAGTATAAGTGAGACAACCCATTTATACCCATTTAATTATATGGGTATAAATGAGTAAGTCAAAATATGAATTGGGTAACCCAATTACCCATTTATAACCCATTTATTTTAACTTTTTGTAAATTCATTTATATAAACTAAATTATCAATTTATACCAAACTAAGAGAGCAAGTTAACAAACTAAGAGAAAATAAAATGATAAGATAAAACCAACACATAATAATAATAGTAATGAAACAAAGTAGTTAACATCATGACAAAATGAAAAATTTGAAAAAAAAAAATAGGTGGAGGAAGAGAGGAGGTTTCGAGGGAGACAATTCTAAATGGATTAATTGGGTAACCCATTTATACCCGTATACAAAAATTTAAAATACCCATACCCATCTATTCATGGACAGATATGGGTAAATTTAATTAAATGGATTTGTTTAACAGCTATATAGATACGTAACAAGCAACCCAACATTTATATTCAACTTGTAATGAGAATAAACTCACCATCCACGTGGGTGTAGAATAATTCAACAAAAGTGATATAGAGTACTCCAAACTTCAAATTGGTATACAAAAAAAAAGAAAAAAAAAAAAAAGGCCCTTCAATCATTCCAATAACTAAAGTAGGAGCTACTGTATATATTCACAAGCTGTAAACCGGAGAATTAGCGTACTGGTATAATTTGGGTGTTGAAGTTGCATGCATGATCATAACATTCCATGCAAAGCCCGTTGGCGCAGTGCAAGGACTTCATGTACATATAAGGTTGATTTGATTAGTAGTACGGACGGCGGGATATGGTAATTTGGTTAATATATGATGAGATAGTAAAGAGTAGAGGCACCTGGTAACAGGCTCCACATTCTTTGCCTGCGTTGTAGAGAGATGGGCCAATCCCAGTTACTAACGAAGAAAATGGTGCCTGCGACACCAGGTTTCCATACCCACAGGCGCCTCCTGCATGCAATTCCAACCTATCTACATATTACGTATATATATAGTTCCAATCAATTGAAGTAATTAATACTAGTAACAAAGCTCGTTAATTACCATCGCTTCCGGCACCGTTGGGGCTGCCGTACCATGTTGCTCCTGCCGATGACCAATGGGCAGCTATGGCGGATAAGGTGAAATTCTTTGGTTTGAAGCAGTAGCATAGGTTGGAGAAACAACATGTACCGAGTAGTACACATGAGATGAACAGGGAAAAGTAATTCGGCTTGCTCCTCATTTCTTCCATTGTGTACGCACTCAAAATCTCTTTTTTTTTTTAAGTGCTCTAAAACAACAAATTAATTTATGTACGTACTTAATAATAAGCTCAACTTTTTCTTAACGCTAATGCCCCTATAATAACGTTCCTATGTATAGACTATGCTCGTGATTTTCAATCATATAAGAAGTCAGTGGTATTTATAGCGCATTCGCATGTGCCTGTTGCTATCAAAATTAAGAGTCTACTTAATACAAACTCTTTCACTACTAATAATAATTTCATTTGGTATGATTTCAAGCTCAAAAGCTACCGTACAAAAGTTCGATTACATCAGAATCTCATGGCTCGCTTCGAGTCAAAAGCAAAGGTCATAGCTAGTACTATTTTTTTTTTTTTCAAGTCCTGAGTCGCAAGTTTCACAGGTAAGCACTTAATGCAAGATACCACATTTATGTTGGATCTCCACATCCAAGTACACTCCTCAAACCTTTAAGAGTTCAAATCTTGCCTCCCACCAATTGTCACATTAAATGTGGATTTGCTTCAAAAAATTCAGGTAAGTGCATAGTGCACTCGTTTGGTCCAGTGGTGATTCAATCCTCTCCGGATTACTCCTGGACCTCCTTAGGTCCACCCTCTCCACCTACTGTGTAGGATAAATTAGAATATATTACAATTGTCATTTCTGAAAAAAAAAAAAAAAATACACTCCTCAAATACTAGTACTTGTACAATTAATGAATGAATGCTCAACTATTTTGTAATAGAACATGTTCTCTTGAGACAGTCTCTATTTGCTTTTGACTGAGTGCTACTAATAGATCTATATATAGTTGCAATTATCAGTGCAGATTTCATATCAAATTGGTTATCGTTTTTCTTGAGCCAAAGCATAATACTGGGAATTTTGTGATGGCATGGAATTTTATTGCTTAAATCAAGCACTTAAGCTCGTGTCAATGACTCGATCAATAAAATGGAGATCAGCTTTGTCGGCAGAGATGGGGCCCTTTTTTCTTTTTTCTGTCGCTTACGGAGAACAAAAATTCCCAATAAATCTGGCGGTGATGGTGGTTATTGGTCGTTAATACTGTTGGGATTGTCATCTTCAACTCTATGATCCAACGGCCACGACCGAGTTTCATTTCGTACAGTCGTCAGCTTCCAATATAATTGCACATGCAGTTGATATATTGCTAGATATTTAATTCGGACGCTTGGATTTGATTATGATGGGGTGTAATGTCGACTGTCATTAATAAGAAAAAAAGATTAATTCGATGTAATGTTTTTTTGGCTTCATGTAACCAAACTCGCATCTTAGATATGCTTCAAAAATCTTTGCGAGAGGGAAATCCTACCCTCCGAATCTTTCCCTTCACCTTTTTCCTTTGATGCTTCATCCTTTAGATCCTACTCTGCATGAAAATACGAATCTTGTTTTCTTCTGGAACGTGCATGCAAATAAGACTCATTTACTAATTTTTCAAAGAATTTGACCCCCAAAAAAAATTATGAAAGAATTTCACCCAAAAAAAAAAAAGCAAGGGAGGGTGAAAAGAAATATGTGCTGTAGAATCGCCCGTGGCTTAGGCTTAGTTTGGATTGAGAGAAATGGGGAAGAAAGAAAGAGGAAAAAAAATGAGAAAAGTGATGACTTTTCTTTTCAAAAGTTGATAGAAATAAAAGGAAAATGTACTATTAACATTAAAAGGAATTAAATTACCACATTTATTCATTACAGTAAACACCAATATTATTATTAAACTTGAGGGGGGTAAATAAATAAAGAGTAAATCTTATATACATCGACAGTGTATATCACCGTTTGATTCATGACATGTGTGCAGAAATTAAATTTCAAATTCAAAATTTGCATAGTTGTCATTCATCCGACACTAACAATATATACACTGTCAGTGTAAAAAAGATTAATCCGTACACAAAATACACATATTACTAAATGGGAGGGAAGTATTACTTCCTAATGGCATGAACGGAAAGTGTCATTCTTTCCTCTCTTCTTTTTTGTTTTTTTAACTCTCCGCTTCTAAACTCCCAAACTAGGCCTTAGTGCTTCAGTTGGTTCTGTTTCACGCAGTCCATCCAGTGTCACTGGATTTGGCCCAAAATCAGTTTTCGATTTGACTATTAGATGCAAGAAAATGGCCCATTTTCAATAGATTTGGGCTATAAGGGATAGGTTGGTCCTGCCTGATTGTTGAACGGGCAAAAAAAAAAAAATACTGTGCTGTTTCTGGGATGCCCCATAAAACACAACAGCGGCATTGGGCCATTGGTGAATGGCCGACTAATCATTTGGGGTGGAAGATTGGCAAGACGGTGTTGAATGTAAGATTATGGGTTTGTTTGGATTGTGAATTATTAGAGATATTTTTACTGTAGCACTTTTTGTGATATGATGTATGTGAGATAAAAAGGTAATTGGAAAGATAAAAAGGTGCGTTGGAAATTGTAATGATGATGTAAGCAAATATATTTTGACAAATAAATCGCAATCCAATATTTTGCTTTTCTGATAATTATGAGCTCTAAAATAATAATAATAAAAAACTTTTATTTCGATGAAATGGCGGCCTGGCTCCCTAAGGCCAAGTACATAATAATTGAACAATGATGGCCGATGGGACGCTAAGATCAGCAGCTAACAAGGATTGGACTCAATCACGATGATAGTAATTTATATAATATGCCTTAAAGTGATAGCCAATAATCTTTTGGACCTCAATCCTCGTGAATCAGACCGCTCCATTCCAAGTCAAATAAAGAAAGAAGAAAGAGAGAGAAGAGCGGCAAATAGATGAAGGCTCCTTAATCACGTTTCATGACAAAGGGAAGAAAGGGATTATGAATCAAACTTGGCCGCCCCTGTGGTCTGTTCCTAAATCCTAACAAACATTGCAAGAAAATGCAGAGCTACAAAAGTCACTCTAATAGCTCACACCGTGAATGGTATACATCCACGTACACATGGAAGTTGGACTTCCATTCCACCGCCCTTTCTTAAATCTTTAAACTTTTCCAACTTTGAAACTTTCTTCTTTTCATTTGCGTGCCCGCTTGTATCATTCCATCGACTAAGCAACTATGGCCGGAGGGGCGGGGTTCGTCAGCGGTGAAGGTGGCCATGGTTATTCCTACTATAATGGAAGAATAACGTGGTTTGTGCTCTGTTCTTGCGTCATAGCTGCTATTGGGGGCGCTATCTTTGGTTACGATACTGGAATTTCAGGTTTACTCTTCTAACTCCTTGATTACTGGTGCTTCTTCCTCTATTAATGCTTCAAGAAATGAAGTCGTTGCATGTTTTTTAGTATCACCCTTTTCTGGGAATCATCAATTTTATTCCCTGTTCATTGTTTTGTATCCCTGCTTCATAAATGATTATCATATAGTTAATTCCCCTTGGCTTCTATGTTCTCTCTGTCAAGGCTTCTCTTTTGGACATGCTTATGCAGGTGAACACTCGATAGATGTTTAATTTTACTTTGAAATGGTTAATTACACTCCTCATGTAGGATGAAATTGTTGGGATGTTCAATTTCGGTTCTTAGTGTAGCAGCCTACAAATAACCCACCAAAACTTTGGATTGTAATAGTTTGTCAAAAAATTTTTAAGTACTCCTTGAACATATTTTTCAATCATCTGTCCTGTCTCAGCTAAAGGCAATTTTCAAATTGTTTGATTTTTTCCGAGTTTTCGAAAATACATCCATTGCCACAGAACATTAAGCAATAACATAAAACTGAAATCAAGTAGTTAGAAGCATGATCACCCTAAATTCTAAACTTGTTATCACTGGGAGTTGTAATTGCCCACAAGTGTAGATGGTTCTTGTAGGGCCTTGACCGTATGGTATGAATTTATGAGTACTGTTTTATGCATGGGAAGGTGGAGTGACCTCCATGGAGTCCTTCTTGAAGAAATTCTTCCCCGACGTGTACGCCAAAATGGAGGAAACCACTGAGGTCAGCAACTATTGCAGATTTGACAGCCAACTTTTGACCGCATTCACCTCCTCACTCTATGTTGCTGGCCTAGTTGCTTCCTTCTTTGCTTCATCATTCACCAGCAACTTCGGACGCAAGCCATCAATCCTTGTTGGTGGTGCCTCATTTTTTATTGGCGCAGTCTTAGGAGCTGCAGCCTTTAATGTCTATATTCTAGTACTTGGTCGTGTTTTGCTTGGAGTTGGCGTCGGTTTTGCAAATCAGGTAAGCTGCTAGTTAATGTGATACTTCACCGGTTTTTTGCAATGCATTGCATTTAGCCTTGTGGCCATTCAATCTAGAGCTCCATCCTGTGGTTTTCTTGGTTGCAGTCAATTCCCTTGTATCTGTCAGAAATTGCTCCCCCGAAATACAGAGGAGCATTCAGTAACTGCTTCCAGCTGAGTGTCAGTCTTGGGATCTTAGTCGCGAACCTCATTAACTTTGGAACTGAAAAAATTAAAGGTGGATGGGGATGGAGGGTCTCATTAGGCATGGCAGCTATCCCAGCCTTGATCATGACTCTTGGTGAAGTATTCTTGCCAGAAACACCTAACAGCATAATTCAGTGCAGTGATGACTATGAGAAGGCCAAGCAACTCCTGCAGAAATTACGAGGAGCCGATGATGTTGAAGCGGAGCTTGGTGATCTCATTAAAGCCAGTGATTTTTCAAGATCCATCAAACATCCGTTCAAGAAAATCATGCAACGAGAATACAGGCCTCAACTTGTCATGTCAATTGCAATTCCATTCTTTCAACAAGTAACGGGAATCAATGTGATAGCCTTCTATGCTCCAATTCTCTTCCGAATAATTGGTCTGAAAGAGAGTTCATCTCTGCTGTCGGCAGTAGTGACCGGAGCTGTCGGTATGCTTACCACCATGGTATCAGTATTGGTAGTCGACAAACTTGGTCGAAGGGTTATGTTTGCTGTTGGTGGGATTCTAATGTTCGTGTCCCAAATTGTAATTGGAACGATAATGGCGATTAAGCTAGGGGATTATGGTGAAATAAACAGGGGATATGCGTTTGTACTTCTGTTCATGATCTGCGTTTATGT